GTTGTTATTATTATTTGTTTTTGGTATTGCTATTGGTGTTCGTTATTGATATTATTATTGTTGTTGTTGTTATCATTATGGTCATCGCTGTTGTTACTCTTGTTCTTCTTTATCATCATTATGATTTTCTTTTATTATCTTACTCCTTTGACATTATCATTATTCTCTTCTTTCTTCCTCATCTTCACTTTTTCTTCTTCCTCATCCTTCACTTTTCTCTTCTTCCTCATCCTTCACTTTTCTCTTCTTCCTCCTCAACTTTTCTCTTCTTCCTCGACTTTTCTCTTAATCTTCCATTTCCTCTTCCACTTTTCCTGTTTCCTCCCCTTCCTCCTCCTCCTCTTCCTCATTATTTTCTACTTATTTTCGTTATTCCTCCCCATCCCTTTTTTTATCATTCCCCATTTCGTTTTTTTCCTCATCCTCATCCTTAATTTCTTCAACTTTTTTTCTTTCTTTCTTTTTCTTTTCATTCGTTCTCCCTTCTCTCCCTTTTTCCTTTTCCTCTTCCTCCTCCTTCTTTCTCCTCCTCTTCTTCTCCCACCTTTTTTCTTCTCATTCTCCTTTCTCTTCGTCGTTTTCCTCTCTCTCACCCTTATTCTTCTTCCAAAAATCTCACAACGAGAAAAAGACAAAATCAAATCATTTCCAAACGTTCATTTTCTTCTCCAATTCCTTCCTTCGTTGCTCCATTCACCTTTCAAATTAACTATTTCCGCATTCGTTAAGTTTTCGTTCCTATTCTTCCTTATTTATATATTGAAGGCAATTCCCTCGCTTTTCAATAACAAGAGAGACGGGAATATCGTTCATTCCCCCCCCCCCCCCGAGGGTCCGGCCGCCTCGTCGCGAGAAGGGCAGACACAGGCCGTCGCTGTTCTCCTCGTGACTTGTCTCCTCCTCTTCTTCGTCTTCCTAGTCCTCCTACTACTACTCCTACTACAACTACTACTACTTCTACTACTTCTACTCCTACAACTACTACTACTTTTACTCCTATTACTACTACTACTACTTCTACTACTACTACTACTGCTACTACGACAACGACGACGACTACATCTCTTCCTACTACTACTACTAAGACTTCCACTCCGACTACTACTACTACTCCTATAGCTACTACTTCTCCTACTACGACCACTACTATTGCTCCTACTACTACGACTTCTACTCTGACTCTTACTACTTCTACTACTACTACTCCTACTACTCCTACTACTCCTACTAATACTTCTACTACTACTACACCTTCTATTCCGACTGCTACTACTCTTACTACTAGTAGTACGACTTTTACTCCGACTCCTACTGCTACTGCTACAACTCCTCCTAATAATGATAATGATAATAATGATAATAATAATCATGATAATAGTAATTCTACTTGGACTATTACTACTGTTCTTACTACTACTGCTGCTACTACTACTATTCCTCTTTCTAAATCTCCTCTTCTTCCTCCTATTTCTAGTTCTCCTCCTCTTATTCCTTCACCTTCTCTTCCTCCTCCTCATTTTCACTTTCCTCCTTTTTTTGTCATTTTTCGTTCGTAAATAACTTTCCTTTGCCTATTGTGTTTCCTCTTTTTCCTACGATTCTTCTTTTTTTCTTCTTTTCTCTAGCTCTTCCTTCTCATCGTTTCATCTATTTCCACATTCTTCTTTACTCCCTTTCCTCTCGACGTTTTTTTTTTCCAATATGCCTTTTGTTTCACTTTTCTATCCTGTTCTTGTTTTGTTCTACGATTGTTTCTCTTTATTTCTCTAAATCTTTTCTTCTGTATTTTTCGTTTATTCTCTCTATTTCATATTCCTTTTTATCTTTTTATCTTTTAGACTTCTTCCTTACACCTCCTTTTCTTGTCACTCCTTTTCCCTTTACCCTCTCTCCTTCGTCTCTTCTTCTTCTTCCTCTTTCTCCATATATTCTCCCTTCTTCTCTTTTTCTGCCTTCACCTCCCTCTCCTCCTCCTCCTACTTCTCTTCCTTCGTCTTCTCCTC